AGTCAATAATTTAAACTTTAACCTAAAAAACTGTGGAAAGATCTACATATCCCAGATGTGCAAAACTTATACATAACCTTGTTGCTGTGATTGAAGTTAAACAAGGTTCAGATCATTCCAACTTTGTATCACCATTACCTGAGCAATTGAACTTATTTCAATAATTAGCTTTACATCAGTCCTTCACCAGTGTCTACTGATGAGGTACTTGATTTGAAAAAAAACGACGCAAGCTCCCTCCCCCTTCCTTTCTGAAAGGTCTACGCCTACGTTTCCGTAACACATTTAAATGTTAATCTTAGAACACTTCATACATATACATTATTGATACACATGCAAAGGAGTTTTCAAAATTATTTCATGGAAAAAAATTTAATGCGCAAAAAAATCGCGGCAAACCCGGAAGTAGCTATTATCATTAATTGCACATTATAGGACACACCTGCAGAAGATCTGATTATGGATATAGATTCAGTATATACCTCAGCGCAGATGTTCAGAATTCTTTGTTCCGTTTTCATGAAGTTCCAGAGCCTAATAGAGGCTTGATTCGGAGGCTCCGCAAAAACAAAAAACTGAGCATGCGCGTAGCTGTGAGCATCAGCGCAATGATTGACAGCCCTTGTCATGACTCGATTGGTTAAAATGGACGGCATCGTGGATTCTGAACTATAGCTAAGAGAAGGGAAGGCGGGACTTACCCGTAATATTAGATTTAATAAAATGACTTATTTCATATCAACATTTACGGCCAGGAGGTCAATTTACTACAATTCTTAAAATGTATAATTCATTTAGAGTTACAGACTATCACTTTAAATTGCACACGGGGAGCGTCTGTAGGTATGACTTACATCCAGATATTAACAACGCTGCTGCAGGCTGATCTGCCGTGTGATGCAGGTGAAGATGTGAGAGCTTATCTGAGATCTGTGTCTGCTTTGTGCGGTGTTCCCTCAGGCCGGCGTTTTACCTGACTGCACTCCTCCACTCTGTACAAAGTATTACAGCTGTATCATGCTTTTACTCGCAGCTAAACCCAAGGAAACAAACTATTTTCACCAAAACTCAAAATAAGTGCAGTTTTGGTTCAATGCCGCTTTTTAACATAATATGCTTTATCTTATTTACAAAGAAAATTGGCTCTGTCCCCCAGAGGAGTGGACAAAAGAGCCTTCTGTTGTCTGACTTCTTCAGGGCAGTATGCCAGGTGTGCATGAGTAGAAACGCCCCCTCGACACAGGTTATAGTCATGTTGGCACAATTGTGTTTTTCAGCTCACTGTCCAGACGATGTTTGCTCCATCTCCATAATGTGTGCTCTTGTAGAGCCCGCCTTCACTGGTTAAGTAAAGCAGCTGTGTTACAGCTTCTTTTTGGTTAGAAGCATGGGGAGGGAATATTAATGGCTCAATATGTCCGTTTTACACCGACATGATCTGTTTTGAACAGTTACCACCCCCGCAAGAGGATCACAAGGCAAGTGTGTCCTTTATGAAGTGATCCAGGCTCTCAAATTACAAAGATGTGATATCTCTCATCCTAGCCTCAAACCCTCAGCACTGGAGCTACACAGGGGTGTGTTCTCTCTCCCTGGCTGTTCTCCCTCTACAAAAATTCTCTGACTTCCACTCATGACTCTGTTTCCATCATCAAATATGCAGATGACACAACAGTATTTGGACTCATCTCAGACAATAATGAAGATCACTACCGGGACCAGGTTGCACTTGGTGCAAAATCAATACCTTACAACATGCCCATATACAAATTCCTCAGACCAGACATCTACATCTCAAAGAAAGGGAAACAACACTGAGGAGAGATTTATAAACAAGCGAACAAAACACTGTTCAAAACATCATCCTTCCTTAAAGAGTTTAGGGCAGGGGTGCTCACACTTTTTCAGCATGCGAGCTACTTATAAAATTATCAAGTCAAAATGATCTACCTTCCACAAAAATACAAAACATATATTTATTTCCAAATATATTTAGGATTTTTTATATCTACAATGTATGTAGATGTACATGCAAAACCGCATGATTTATGAAATAATTTGCATTCAAACATCTGCGTTTTCAATCACATTCATAACATTCCAAACCGGTGCGTCCTCTGACTTCCTGCGTCGGGGAAAAAACACAGAAGTTCTTCTTCTTCTTCGGTACTTCTGGAGCGGCACTTACAGTCTTAGAAGAAACTCAGGGTGAAGACATATTATTATAGATCCATGGTGAAGACATATGTTTACAAGCACTGACCCCCGTTCTCAGCCCTGGTTTGATCCTGGTTTAGTCCTAGTTTAGCTCCTGTTTTGGTTGTTTTCGAGCATGAGTCCCTGTGATCACTTTGCTGCTCTCTGATGTGGAGCGAGGGTGTCCGCTGCTGCAAACCGCCCGCAGCAGCGGACAGTAGATCCATGCTTCAGTGATCAGAGGTCGAACTTTTGTTTGTTGTTGTTGTTTTGGGGGCAGACTGTGGCGTGCGAAAACGCGAAACTCCGGTTATCTCTGTCTACACGTAAATGTGTAAACTGATTTTTTTTTTTTTATGCAAGGCGATCTACCAATACTACCTTTGCGATCGAGTGGTAGATCACAATCGACGTATTGAGCACCCCTGGTTTAGAGTCAGACTGCTGTACAGGGTCCTTCTATACCAGAAACAAATTCCACCCACTGATAAATAAATTATTCTGATTACGATTCTGACAATCCTGATGACATTCTTTCCTCCGTAGATATTCATGAAGAGCCATTAACTCAAATGTTAATGGCTTCTGCTGTGATAAACACTGCAGCTGGCGGTGTGGTCACCCACCCGTTTTACGCATGGCTCACTGGAGGGGAGACACAGCCAGTGGGGTGCCCACTGGTGCACCAGAAGGTATCAGCAACAACACGTTACATGTCACTGGAAAAAGCACATGACTACTTTGAAGAAGACAACATTTGGATTGATATGGAACAATAAAGAAACCCAAGAACAACTGAAATGTGTCTATAGCCACCGTGCTGCGAGTGGATAGCACTCTCGCCTCTCAGCAAGAAGGTCCTGGGTTCGAATCCTGGCCTGACCAGGGCCTTTCTGAGTGGAGTTTGCATGTTCTCCCCATGTCTGCGTAGGTTTCCTCCGGGTTCTCCGGTTTCCCCTACCACTAAAAATATGTACAATAGGTCTGGCATGCGCCTCCTGTTCGGCGACCCCGCTCCCATCTCTGTGTGGAGTGAGAGGACAAGTGCCCAAAAAATAACAATTGTAAACCGCTTTGTGACTCTGGTCTGTGAAAGGCGGTATATAAATAAAGCTTACTTACTTACTTACTAGAACACCAGCATAGCTTCCTCCTGATTTCCTTCTAGACTTTTGGTTGGCGTATAAACGGAATGACAGCTTTCTCTGTGACACCTTGCTGCCCTTGAGCAGCTGGAGTCTGATTGGCTGCTGTGTGGTTGATTGGAAGGTCGTGATCACTGCCACTAGAGGTGAAGGCAAACTGTCGTTCGGCCGTGAGGACCTCGGGACATGAGAGCTGGAGAGTTCTGAGCCCTCTGCTGCTAATCCAGAGTCAATGGGAGTCAGTGCCCTTAAAAACCTCATTATTTGAATTAATAGCAGCATCTGCAAGAAGTATGACTTCAGAAAATAAATGGATGGGAAACTGTTTGAAACTTGTAGACATTACAGTGCCATGCTAAACATAAGGCCACCTTCGGAATATTGTCAGTGTGAAGAAAGTTACACATTGTGCATGATGCTGATATGTACAAACTGCTGAGATGCTGCAAAAATAGTTTTTGGTCCAGTGTAGGAGCTATTGGTGAATATCAATCCTGCAGGGGGTGAATATTATCGAAACAAGTTGTTTAGCTGCTGACTTTTAAAGTTTCTGATAAAGTAATCTGTCTAATTAGCCAATATGTGCTTTATGACCACTATGGCACTGTGGTAGTTAATCATTCAGAATTTAAAGTTTTACATACTTGCTACTGTATGACCTTGCTGTGTGCCTAACCCTTTTGGTCTGTAAAATAGTGAAAAATGAAATCATTCTACTACTTTATTTATGAACAGAAAAGTTCAGAACAAAGTCTACATAAGGATTATACTAGGGCCCGACAGTTTAAAAGTGACATTTTAAAACAGACGTAATCAAATATACATGCACATCTATTCATCCTCCCTCTGATATGACACTGCTTTATATAATTCAGATAAGTTGGTTCTTGCAGGGCAAAGCACTTAGAAAAAAATGTTTGACCAAGGTTTCTGCCAGAATTACTCTTGTGTACCAGCTGATAAGGAAAGTGCAGTGGTGAAAGAAGTGTTTGCAGGATAAAAAAAACAATGACATAGTAATACTAACAGTTAAACTAAAATCATCATCTACAAGTAATGCAATAAAGTACCCCTTTAAACATTTACCTCAGGGGTAAACAAGAAAACATCTTTAACTACATAACTACACTGATTTATCCATTTATGCTTTCATATATGGCTGGTGAAAAATCATTATTTCTGGCATAATTAATCATAAAAAGAAACGTTCCTCAATGCATCAAAAATCAGTGAAGCAAAATATGCAAGTTATTTACATGGAATGAAATAATGTTTTAGCTACTGTAATCTGTACTTAAGTAAAAGACATATACATTTGAACAATACTTTTTCTTTTGTACTTTTTTTGGTTTGGTTTTACCACTGTTTGTAAGAGAAACCGCTAAATGACCAGTGCAGTAGGGCCAGGCAGCTGCAGAGCAGAAAGAGACAAGCCTAATTAGAATTGACCACCTGCTAGATTGGTTGGCCAGCCTTCAAGACACAAGCCAAAACCCTATACTTCTCAAATGAGCAAATATTTATTCCAACTATAATCTGCATTGATGCCAGCAGCCTTTCATTTGAACTATGTGAAAATACCCTCTAATTGCTGGCAGAAGGGTTGGGGAAAAAACAGCTGTGTTTGACTTTGAGTTTGAGATGGTGTGTCTCTTTTACCTGTGCATTTTTTCAAACTGCCAGGCCGTTTTCCGTGCATGCCTAACTTGCAGTTGAAGTTTTCCTCCCAGAACTCGGCAAACCAGACGTTTCTTCTGTTGTTGGAAAGGGAGCGGCTTCGGAAATAGCGGTCAAAGGCTGCAGAACAGAGGAGAAGTCTATTTAAATGGTCAAAAAACATATCACATACACTGCAAAGTACAAATACCATATAACATTTGTGGATATTAACTTCAATATTCAATAACTTCTCACAATCAATTACTGTTATACCAATTACCTGTATCCTTTGGTTAATTACCCTCTTAGCTACCTAAAATGTAGATTCCCAGTCCCAACAATTGAAAGAGAATATCCTCTGACAAAAACTTCCAGCTCTGTATAATGACTTTTCTTTTCTCAATCACAATTCAAACAATTTTCAATATGAGAAAGATATGAGAAAGATATCTTTTTATGGACATCATTTTGCTTCCATTTCAGCTCGAACTTCTGCAGCTCTTGTCACATGCTGCTGTCCAGAGAAATCATTTAAAACCGCGCTTACCCAATACTATCACCACCACTCAACTTTAATAACTGCAGAAGAGTGGAGCACATTTCACACGGCCGTAAAAATGGAAGCAAACTTGTCACGAGCTGGTGCGGCTGATGATGAGCAACGGAAAGGAGCAAGGAAGACAAAAACATAGTATGCTTCTGTTTTTAGATGACACTTAATTGGGAGGCCTGCTTTATACTTACATACACAAACGGCCTGCACTGCTGGAATAGTTCCATTGAAGTGAATTATTTCCTTCCCTCTCCACAAGAAGATCCCGGGATTGATACAGAGACATGGCTGCGTGGAGTATGCATGTTCTTCCTGTACTGCTCAGGTCTAATCTGATCTACTGTACATAATTGTATTGGACCTGGATGGATGATGAGACATCAACAACTCAAACTGTAATGTGAAAGACAATGTCATCATCTTTTCAAATAGAAAAGATGTGCCATTCTTGGGCCAATCCAAATAAAAAATAAATTGTCACAACGTTTCACATCTTCTTCGTCAGCACATACCATAATTATGGTGTAATTATTTTCCCATGACCATGCGTGATATTGGCCAGTAGCCAGGACTGTGCAACATAATATTGCGGTTTTGTGAATCCAATCTCTATCACACATTTCTTACAAATCGTGCTTATTATCCATAGAGTTATACTACCACCTGCTCTCCAACTTATTCTAGAAAACACATGCTACCTATTGTTTTTAGCCTCAACAACTTGGTTAAACATAATGTTTTTGCTTCAGAACCATTGCAATAGTTCTGAACAGCATGTGCATATGGTCAATTCAGTCTTCCAAATAGAAGCTACAAATACACTGAACAGTTTGGCAAAGACTTGACAGCAGAAGGCGTTACTCTGCCGCCTGAAGTGTGTAATCTTGCTGCACTTCCAGATGTGCTCATCCCACAGATCGGCTCTGGCTCTTACACCAGTCTGCCAGTGTGGGGACGGCCTAGCACAGGTGCACTCTGGGTCATTTGTTTGACACTTTGGGGGATTAATCAAGACAGCTGTTTCAACGTCTTAGCCACGGTACAGTTAGCCCAGGGTGACCGCGGTGGAGTAAAGTGGAGAAATATATTTGGGTAGCATGGACCTTTGTTTCTCAACTCTCAAGAGGCACAGGGTCTTCCTGAGCGGTGGGTGCTCCCCTACCACTGTAAACATGTTTAACATTTATCTAACCAGGAAAGTCCCATTGAGATTAGGAACCTCTTTTTCAAGGGAGTCCTGGACATGAACATGCCAAAAAGGTTTTTCTGAGCTGGGGACATGACACCCCTGAAAAATCTTTTCTGAACGATCATCGTTAAAACTTTTCTTCTCACAATGAATACATATAATTGGCCCCAAATGAAAGAATCTTTTCTTATCTGAGAAAACCTGTTGCTTGTAAGAAAGAGACTTGTGAGTCACTCATTGATACTTTCAGTTCAAAGCTGAGGGTGGTTCTTTCTTTGTATTAACTTTTCTGTCTTAAAATAATGTGACACAGGGCAAAAATATATGACTGACAAACTCGAGATAAAAGCAAACTGTTGAGTGCAAGTGCTGTAACTAGTTAGATGAATCTTATTGCATTGTTGAACGTACTTCATAATTTAACTACAGAATGGAAAAAACAATGATAATGAAAATGGTATAATTGTACATTTTTTTCAGTTCAATAAAAAAGGCGTCCGGTTTCTATAGCTTAATTTCTCCGTTTAGTTATTAAAATACATTTCAGTCAAGCCCAAATAAGCATCGGAAAATAGACACCATCCAGAAGAATAAGTCCTATAAGATTCTTCTTTATCTTTAAATGACCAAAGACGTACTCTTTCCCATGAAAGCCGCCTTCGTCAAACTCTTGCGTGACTCTTCCCACTTCTCTTTTTTTATTTCACATTCAACTTTTCATGCTGTCATTTGTGTGTCCCTCCAGGAGTCAATTATCTAATAGGAAGCTCTGACAGGGAGCAAATGAGGGTATACTTTCTGGACTAATGGTAAAAACTTGCTGCCTGCTGGGATTAAGAGTGTGAAGACAGGAGCGCAGCATGTCCCTGCTGGGAAAGCTAGCTCGAGCTATTAGGCACGGTGCACAGAATGTTGTGTACTGCATGTCTTATGTTGAGCTATGCAGGTGCGTGGGATAATATTGTCGATCATTGAGTGTGCTTGTGAAGAAATAAACATGCAGTCAATCTATCAATAGTAATGCGCTGTCTATATATGATTCCAGGATAAACATTAGGGGTGTGACGATATATCAATTTTTAGATATATCGCGATACGTTCTACCGCGATTCGATTATCGATATGCATTTGCCAAGTATCAATATCCATTTTGAAAAAAAATAAAATAATATATACAGTATTTTTTATTGTTACAAATTATTATTTTTGAATTGGTATCAATACTTCATATATGGCTACATTACGCATCTCCATTCCATTTATCATGAAATAAAGTGTATTTTTTCTTTTATTTATGCCATAAATTGGCATATTGTATATTTCTGACCAATATATCGATAATCGTCATATCGTGATGATATCGTTATCGTGATAATATCGTTATTGTGATAATATCGTTATCGTGAGCTTTGTATTGTGTATCGTATCGTATCGTGAGGGGCCCTTTGGTTCCCACCCCTAATAAACATGCAGACACACATGGACACAAACAACAGTATTCGATCTAACCGTCTACAGAAGCTCTCTTGGGCAGGATGGTGATGGCCCCTTCTGCCACCCTCTCTTGACCAATCACGGGAGAGATTTTGGACCCCCAGCTGTCTGATCCCACCCATAGGAAGTGGCCAGTCTGGTTGTTCCTTTTGGCAGCATCGAGGACCCGCCTGGAAGAAAAAGACATCCACATCAAATGTCAAGTCATGATGCACAAGATAGTATCGTTGAGGAAGTATTGTGATGTTCTAGACTCTGCACAGTGTGTTCAATTGTATTCATCCACTCATATCAAGGCCCACACACTTATGAAAAATAGGGAGATCACTATCTGCGGGCGTTTGATAGTGATGCATGAGACAGATTTTATTCCTGCATTTTATACCACAAACAGCTCGGTGGCCTTGGGTTCAATTGTACCTATAGACATGGCCTTCTGTGTGTAGTTTGTATGTTTCCTCCGGATACTTTGACTACCACTAAAAACATGTATGACATTGGTGGTTGAACTGAGTGAGAGATCGTATGGCGATGATAAACCAAACCACCTGGCAGTCAGGTTTATCTATGCACATCATCAACTTTCTCTAATGTTTCGAGGTACTAACCATTTTGATCTTTGATACACTGTAAGTACTAGTTCTATTGTTGCCTCAAAAAGCTCAAAAAACGACTACAATCAATCCCTTGTGCTATTCATTCATACTGTAATTGGAGACATTTGTTTCTGCTACAAATTGTGACTTTCATGAACAAGAATAGCTACACAGAATCCGGGTGTAAAATGTCACAAAATGTAATGACGTAGCAGTGTGAGCAGGTAGAATGTTGAGTGTCTAATTACTTCCTGCGTACACAGACAGGTTTCTGCGACAGGAGCGCAGTCTCAGCCCGCCGCCTCACTCTTACCGAATGTCGTCCTCATTAGCGAACATGATGATGGCCCTGGCATTGGAGGTCTCGAGCAGACGCCTGATAATCTTGTCAAACTCTCCTGTCCTGGGCTCCCGAGGGATTTTTAGAGACTGGGCGATGCACACTCCACCTGGGAAGAGAGATACAAAAATGCAAGTTAGTCGAATACAGATTGCCGACGTCTTGAATGCATCAAATGAGGTTAAGTTTAGTTCATATAGGTGGAGAAGTTGCTTGCACCGTGTATTTTAGGAAACATTAATGGACTTGGGTTTTTTACCAAAGTAGAGAGTCTTGTCATTAAAACCGGCGTGTGACTGCAACCAGATCAACCAGAAGTGGGTGAATTTTTAAAGAATCTAAATCCTTACTAAAATGAAGTTTTATATTATTGTAAGCTAATACAAGTATGTCTTTTTGTCCTCAGCATTTGACCCATGTTCTTCAATGCTCCAAGAATCTACAGATGTTGATGCTTGGCTTGGTCAGGAATACCCGAGCTGAAATGAACTCGGAGCACCCAGAGAAAACCCTCCCAGATGCAGGTAGAAACATGCATACCCACACAGAAACTGAATTAGAACCAACAACCTTCCATGTATATTTTATAATACATATTTGTACCAACGCGGTGTGAAGAGAAGAGATGCTTGTAGGAATAGCCGCAGCAGGACATGGCTAAAAACTCATGTTAGCGAAAGCGTTAGCCACAGCGCCCTATTTGCATCACGGTAAGAAACAGAACATTCACTCACGCTGCTGATAAAGTATTCTGGCGATTGTTTTATGGAGATTCTGTGTGTTTTATTTGAGGCTTTTTCCCTGAATAAGTTTAGTTGAAACTTGTGACACGATAGTTGGACTGCGCTCGGATCGGATTCTGCCTCATTCTCATTTATGTCAGTGTGAAAAAGCTACGTATTGTTCTCGTGTGAGTCTGTTATGTACAAACTACACAATGTGCCTCCTGTTGTTAACGCTGTCTTTCAGTGCGTGTGGTTTGCGAGTTTGACAGTTTGCTGCTATGACGCCAGATTTTTGCATAATTATTTTTAAGATTGTTGTTTGGGTCGTTCTTTTACATTAATAATAATTCTTTTTTATTCACTGTGGTCCTTTATGATTCTTTTATATAACTGTGGTCCTCCATGGTTCCTTCTTCAAACGTGTGAAGGAACGGTGAAAGTAACAATATCAGTAGCTCATGTGAAACCAAAACGCGATTCTCGCTTCCTTTTTGTCCCTTATCCACCACTGTAATTCAAGATGGCGCATTTACATGGAGAGCACTCCTCTCTCATGGACATTTATAAGTTGAATTCTAAGCCTATGAAAACAATTTAAAAAGCATGGTGGAGGTAAATAATGACCAGTAATCAACTGGTCCCTCAACGAAATTGATACTATTTTTTCATCACGTAAAGGCGGTTCTGGAGATGCTGTTTGCCCGGATGGTACGGCGGCTGCTGGGTACGTTTTTGACAACTGGCAAAAGTGGCACCCCGTTTGTCTGTCGGGACTGTCCATCGAGGACATTGAGGATATATACATTTTTGGATTTATGGTAGCAGGGTTCCTCCTGATTGGATTTGGAGTTGGCTTGATCTACCGCAAAGTTGGAGGGCTGTCCACTCAGAAGATTTACGAGCGGCTGTCCGCGGAAAACAAGGAGAGTTTCCGCGAGTTGGTCAGAGTCGTGGTCAAGGGCACAGTTGGGACACAACGGGGTGTGAGTCGGATCGAACATTCCCTTACAGATCTGGGAGTGAGATCTTTGGATGGACTTAAACACTTGGAAGGATTGATTGAAGGACTTGGGCCTCACGATGGAACCTCGTACTGACGTGGTCAACTCCGGATAAAGGTGAAGGGAGGGTCCAGTTCCAGTATAATTTGGACATATTGGCTTTAGTTTACACTGCCTTTCATTGATCAGCTAAAGTGCTTATACAAATTTCCCACAAGGGCATGTGTTGTTTTGTCTCCAATGTTTGTAGGCACCTGCGCTATCTTTGTCCTTCACATTCCACCACCCACACTGCTACATAGGCTACTCAAGGCCGACACTGGACTCTATCTAACTCAGACTCACAACCCAGAACACCAGTTACAGTCCCCCCCCCCTTCTACATGTCTGCCTCTCTCTCTTTTTCAGTCTATGGTGGTCTTCCCCTCCACCTCCCCCACCCACACTCCCCTCTGACGCGCTATATTGGACGAGGCGGGCCAGAGTGATGATTTCCCTTCAAAAAGATCTGCATGTTTTCCACATGTACCGTGTCTCTCCCCATGTTTGTTTGAAATATGTGTGTATGTTCTGCTCTCTGTTGTTTATTCTACTGTTTGTCGCATGGCGCCGTAAAGATGGCGCCGTGGCAAGAGCTCTGGTGTGTGTCGTCTGGTGCACACTGGGGTAGTCTTGCACAGTTTTTCTTATGTGGTTTTACTGCAAATGGCAAATAAATGAATCTGAAATATTCTTAAAAAGGTCACATTTGTTATTAGTTATAAAAAAAAATCATATGGAGCAACTGTAAAAATTACACAGGATGGCTTTAAGAAACAAGCACAACATTCTTCTTTTTATATTTCCATCCAAAATTATCATAAAATAATTGACATCTCAAATATACAATTTTCTTTCCTGCACAACTTAACTACAGACCTTGAGAAGCAAAGGCAATAAGAAAAAATCTAACATCAATTTCCCAATCAACATTTATCATACCTTAGATTTTAAAAAAGGTTGATTTGTTAAACAAAATTTGTAAAAACTACTACTAATACCTCTGTTTTGTCATCTCTATTCTAGTCTGTGACTGATGTCTTGTCTCCTCTTGCCTGTTCCAGCCCATTTATTGAACATCTGTACGGTCTGTCAATTCTACTACATCATCCGGCCTTAATCATACACACACACACACACACACACTCACGCACGAATGCACGCACACACAGACATACACACACACACACACAAAAATGCACGTAGAGCAGCAGATAAATCAACTTTCTAAACAAACACTCGTTAGCCTAATATCAGGAGCCTCTCAAGGATAATCACTATATTGAGCAAATTGGACAACCTTGTCTTATCCCCTTTATGCAGATGTAAATCAAGTCTGGAGATCATTGCTCTGGAAAAAATAAAAGTAAATAAAGAGTCTACTTAATGTAGCACTAAATATCTGGAATGGAATAACGTTTTTATAGAATTATAGAGCTGCGTGTCCACCACACCATGTGTTCAGTGGTGTATGTTACGTTTGTCAGGAGCAACAGATGTGTTCTTACGGGGCAGCAGGGGAGGTGGGGGTGGCGACTTGACGCAAACAGAAAAAAATTGTATGTTCAAAGAAATTGTAATCATCTGCAGTCCCAAGTGTTGCAAAAGTGGTCTCCTTTATTATTCAAATACTGCTCATGGGATGACTCTACTTAAACCCGTGTTTGTCTCCAAGATGCTACAGAAAATTCCACAGTGGCGGTGACTGTATGAAACTCAAGGCGCTTCCACACTTCAGTCCCATGATAACCGGAATTCCTTTTAACCGTTTGACCAATTGTGAAAAATATGAAGCCACCAACATTGCTTGCATGACTATGAAATGACAAAATGAAATCTGGACAACAAGAAAGCATGTATGCGTGTAAGGACCTCTTTTAAGTTAACCTTCAGTAAACACTGAAAACAACCCATAAAACCAAAGCTTTACTTGATACACTCCTCGGACACTCGAGGGAATTCTATCTGATAGGTACGGTCAACATCATCATTGTGTATAATCACATGGGAGTGGTTGAAGGCAGAAATGTACAAATGAAATGTAAGCTGTGGAAGTTGGAAGACAAAAGATTATCTAATGTCACAACCAGCCCATTAAACATATATAATGAACCGCAGAAAGACAAATTGAGGACAAGGATCAATAGTAGCAAAGCCATTTGTACAGCTTTGGTTGTATGAGCGAAGATAAAAAGGAAGCAGCTTTAGTGGAGAAAAGTTTGTCGAGATGAGAAAGAATTGATTGTGTGAACTACAAGACCTGGTATTGATTTCAGTGAGATCCAGGTCAGAAAGAAGTAGTGCAGTATAAAACAGTGGTATTCCTTATGACTGGACATCTCTGTTAGCCACTTTGTTACCAGATAGAGCAAGGAGGATATAGATCTGATGAGACAGTATAATCTTTTGTGATCAAGGCTGTTAGAGTAATGGAACTTGGCGTACGTATGGACAACCACTGACAACCTCTCACAAGAAGACTAGCCTGAATAACTATGCAAATATCTGCAAATGGCATAAGAATTGCCTTGCGAAGAGTCAGTCATTTTTAATTTGTTCTTTAGAAAATACACTATCAGCTTTCCCAGACTTTCCCAGAATACCTGTCAGCCATGATCTGCTATGAACACATAAAGTGGAATGTACAGAGAGGACGTACAGTGGAAACATTGATACATATGTTTTTCTTTGCTCACTGTATATAGAGCAATGAGACTTCTGACTGAGAAAGTATGATGAATGATTCATACAGTGGGGCAAAAAAGTATTTAGTCAGCCACCGATTGTGCAAGTTATCACACTTAAAATAATGACAGAGGTCTGTAATTTTCATCATTTTAACTGTGAGAGATCGAATGTGAAAAAAAAAATCCAGGAATTCACATTGTAGGGATTGATTTTAAATTATGGTGGAAAATAACAAAAAAAAAAATCCAGGAATTCACATTGTAGGATTTTTAAAGAATTGATTTGTAAATTATGGTGGAAAATAAGTATTTGGTCACTTCAAATAAGGAAGATCTCTGGCTCTCACAGACCTGTAACTTCTTCTTGTTACCTGTATTAATGGCACCTGTTTGAACTCGTTATCAACCACTGATAATCTCCGTCAATCTGGGGCTCCACGCAAGATCTCATCCCGTGGGGTCAAAATGATCATGAGAACCGTGATCAAAAATCCCAGAACCACACGGGGGACCTGATGAATGACCTGCAGAGAGCTGGGACCAAAGTAACAAAGGTTACCATCAGTAAGACACTACGACGACAGGGAATCAGATCCTGCAGTGCCAGACGTGTCCCCCTGCTGAAGCCAGTGCAGGTCCAGGCTCGTCTGAAGTTTGCCAGAGAGCACATGGATGATAGAGCAGAGGATTGGGAGAATGTCATGTGGTCAGATGAAACCAAAGTAGAACTTTTTGGTATAAACTCAACTCGTCGTGTTTGGAGAAAGAAGAATACTGAGTTGCATCCCAAGAACACCATACCTACTGTGAAGCATGGGGGTGGAAACGTCATGCTTTGGGGCTGTTTTTCTGCTAAGGGGACAGGACGACTGATCCATGTTAAGGAAAGATTGAATGGGGCCATGTGACGTGAGATTTTGAGCCAAAACCTCCTTCCATTGAGTTAAATTTCTGTTATTGACCAGCTTTCTGGCTAAAATGTGAATTCCTGGATTTTTTTTCACATTCTGTCTCTCACAGTTGAAGTGTATCTATGATGAAAATTACAGACCTCTGTCAGTATTTTAAGTGGGAGAACTTGCACAATCGGTGGCTGACTAAATACTTTTTTGCCCCACTGTAAGTATTGCATCTTTCAATAATGTGGCATTGAACCATTAAAAAGATCTTTCGTCAAATTACCTGACCAATATAACCAAGAACTATATTGTGACGAGTACTTTTACTGAATATGAACTTCTGGTTTCCTCTGTATATTTTCCTTTCTCCAAACAACTGCCTTCCTAACCTTTCTTCAGCACACTGATCCACACACACAGTATTACGTCTTTTATCAGTATTGCATTCTGGACACCCACAGATAGTAATGGGATATCCTGGAGAGTGGGGACGCTAACAGGCCAACATCAAAGCTCTGCCCTGACTCGGGAGCTGCCTTCCCTCCTCCAGCACAGGCTTCGTTTTAAAATGAAATGTAGAAAATAATAGATCCCTTTATAATAATTTCTGAAGATGTTATGTTTAAGAGAGGGCGCCGTGGCAGATGTTTGTGGAAGCATTCATTAAGATGAATCCAAGTCTTTCTTCAAAATGGGTGTCATGTAATTTAGTTTTACAAGTTGTTTTTTGGAAGTGTAATGCAATAACAGTTACTGCTGTATAATATGTTAATCAGAGATAAAGTCCTTACCAATTTGATATACTCTGCAATGGACCCTCACGACAGGGCAAGTTAACTTCACATTTATACATTTAACTGTTCCAGATTTTGTTTTTTACGTGGTTGAATAATTTACTTTTTATCTATAAAATGTGTATAGCTATTGCCAATAAAAGTTAAAATACTAAAAGATGTGTGTTTGTGTGTGTGTGCTAGTGTGTTTGTGTGTTTTAGGGAGAGCACTTTGTGACATATGAGCTGAAGGTTGGCAATTTAAATCCGGCTCCTGATATATGGTTCCTTAAAGTGCCTGTTGCGTCTTGGAATGTAGAAAAGCACTAGAATCTCAGAGGTGTCAAATGTGCATATTTTGTTCTGAATAAAAACTGTTGAGCCATTATTGGGTTGAACAAAAACAGGGGCAGAGGTAAAAAATAAACATTGGTATTGTAGACTGCACGGCCATCGATGCTTGTAAGCTAATGCTAATAACTGATAACCATTTCAGTTATATTTCAGGCAAAATGGAACCAGGCATGAGTTTCAGAACCATGCGCAAGATAAAGGTGACTGTTTGAAAATGATTCAAATTCTCTGCACACCAACAGAGTCATATCCAGGTTTTTGCAATGGAAAACCGGATCCATCCGCGGACACAGTGTTGGAGCTCGTCTCTTCTTCCCTGGAAGCGATGAACCCACCGACGTGAAGTCGCTCTCTCTCTGGGTGGGTTGCGGAGGCAGGGGGGTCTAATAGCCTCGCGCGGCGCTCTCTCTCCTCCCCGGGGAGAGAAAGGCACGCCGCACACGTCGCCGCTTCCCGGTGGTGGTGAGCTCCCAGGCATGGCGAAGGAGTTCTCGGACGAGGAGGAGTAGACATCGCGATCTTCAATGGTGAGTAGAACTTCTCTCAATGGCGCCAGAGTTCAAAGTGAAGAGCATGGACTGCTGTGGGCTATTTATAGGAGGTTCTGCACAGTGATTGGAGCATTGAGTTCTCTCTGGCGGGAAGCTAGGTGCTTCTGGAGTCATACCCAAAGCGAGCCTAAGGGGCGTAGCACTATGAAGTAGAACATAACTATTTATGTTTGTATTGATCCATTCTATTGTTATTCAGTCATTTGTGTGTATACTGTTCCATAATGCAACCTATTTTTGGTTCATTACAGTCTGTGTTCAGTGAGTGCTTTGTCTTATGCCAAGAAACCGTACAAGAAACTCATTTATTTTTTCCCCGACGCCCACATATCACCTGTGCCAGCGCACTGTTACTAAGAAGGGAATCTTCACACAAACACTTTTCCTCTGCCTCAAAAGCTCATTAGAACTGCTTTCAAATTAAAAGTTGCCCTTTGCACTTGTTCTTTGTTGAAAGCTCAGGGGCACAGCAATGCAGGGCTTTGAACTCACTCACTCATGTCTCCAAGTGATAGTGGGCATTATTGTGCATTCTAGTCATTTGAATCATATTTCTGTCCAGTAAGTGTGCCATAAGTACATGTTCCATTGTACATTAAATGGGATCCTCAAGCTTGCTTAACTCACAAGTATTCTTTGATTAAAATGAGAATCAATGTATTCAACATCAAAGTTAAAAGTTTTCACTCAGCAATGACGCTGCTAAGACTTAACAATGCTCCATTATGTTATACAGATTCACTTGACCAAAGCTATATCAAAAAGCCTACAGCAAACTTGAACTTTCAAATTAAATGAAAGGTGAAACATCTATAAATACAAATAAATGCTAACTTATTAGGCGTTAGCGTGTAGAACTGTTCTATGTTTGTGTCATTGAGGACCCCATTTGAACTATGAAACAAGCACAGATTTCAGAATGTATTGCTTATCCTGCAACTGTCTTGCAGCTATTGAGTTTTTATTAAGTTTGTGTTTTTTTATGCTTAAATAAGTTATTATTAAAATATATGGACATTTAGATTTGATGATTTTTTTTTTTATTGTATCGAAGAAAGTTACTTTTGTCTGTATTTTCAACACATATGTTATTACTCCAGAAAGAAAACAGAAAATTAGGAATAATCAATAAACAAAGACGCAAAAGTTGAGGCATAGAGAAACATTTATTGTCGAGTATAATTTTGATGATGAAAAATCAAGAAAAAGTGACAGATCTATCTATGAATCATGAGAATAAAGTTATCAGTAGTCTCCTTGGCTTTGTGTTACACTGTGGTCTATTCCAATGCAGATAGTGGGTATTGGATATGTCCAGTGATCTACAACCCTATAATGAAATGTCTATAGTGGCGCTCGGGCAAAATACTCCCATTTGCCGTATCAGTCTCAAAACTAATTTAGAGTCTACGCAGGAAATATCCTTATCCTGCAGAGCCCATATTGCCATAGTCTTGTGCTCACTGCATTCCCACAATCTTTGCAATCGTCTGCATTGTTAACTGAACATTATTAAAGTTGAATGCTTATTAGAGGAGCCAATATGCAATATCAGGTCTTTCCAATTACAGTTTTGTCCATGGATATTGGGAAAAGACACCCACTTGAAGAAGCAAAATATTGTAATATGTGTCAGAGAAAAGCATGAGCATTGCAAAAAAATATTAAAGAAACATGTATATTGTAAATAAAGAACATATTACTCCTCCATGGACTGCCCCTCTATAGTCGGGCTTTGCTCGGATGAGGAGCTATGTTGCCCCAAGCTTTATGCCCCTAGTTGGGACTCCAATGGCAAACAGGTCTTAGACATGGATCTATAATAATAACTGGATAGGGTATTACTAGCTCATAGCTGTCCCACCCATGGGCACAGGGGGCGCCCGTGGTACTGCAGAATAAATAAAGTGGGCTACCCAAAAAAGTCCCATAGAACTCATTGTAAACTAAAACAGCTGGACCTCAGCTGACAGAGAACCTACTGCTTTCACAAAAGTCGGATTTTGTTTAAATTTTAGTGTCCCTTGTCATCCTGAACTTTTTTTCTTCTTAAATCCTTCGGTTTTCTATAAATCCACACTTTTCTGCCACAAACTCTGCTCGTTTCCTTCCCGCTCTGACTCCGCTCTAACGCTTCTCTGATCAGCAGCTCTGACTGGTCAAAGCGCGACCGAGCCCCGAGCCGACGTGCATGAGAGCCACACATGCGTATTTGGCGCAATACATCATGGGAGATCATCCACTGTGCAGAACCGGGAGGACCAGACGATGCCCAAATATGGGCGAGTACCGCTAGTTCATTTGAATTGGACACCATCTCTCACTGGGGCTTGGTCCTAGATGACAAAGGGGTGTCTGGTCCCTGCATGACCGAAGTCTGAGCTGTGTTCGCATCACTGGCAGTACATCAGACCGGTTCCCAGTGCTTCCATTTCACTGTTTTTATGGACAGAATTTCTAGGCGCAGTCAGGGGCTGAAGGAAGTCTGGTTTACGGACCACAAGATTTAATCTCTGCTGTTTGCAGACAATGTTGTCTTGTAGGCTCCAACAAACCCGGATCTTCAACATGCACTGGTGCAGTTTGCAGCCGAGTGTGAAGGGGCGGGGATCAGCAAAGCAGCATCCGAGAGCACCAGAAAGGGCGTCTTGTCGTCTACAGGTGGGTGGACGAGTTCAAGTGTATTGGAGTCTTGAAAATGCAAGAAGAACGAGTGCATATGACCATCAAAAAATATAGAGTAAACGTGAAAGGTTAGGGGCTCTTCAAGGATCCGTGGAATAAAAAAAGAGGAAAATAAAGAGAAAAGAGTCAGAAGCAAAAATCCTTTATACTTGAAAGGATGTTGTGACGTGTTTTGACCCCCATCGGGTCTTCCTCAAGGCAAGCATTTCAGAATCTTGTTTTGAGTGACAAGAGGGAAAGTGAGATTGACAGAGATTGATGCAGCGTGTGGTTTCTGTTATAGTTAAGAGGGAAATCAGTCGAAAGGCAAAGCTCTCAATTTATTGGTCAATCTACGTTCCCACCCTCACCTACGGTGATGAGAATGATGAGAATGCAGCTGGCCTGGGAATGCCTTAGGAGTTGCCCATATGAGTTGGAGGGTGCTCAGCAGGCTGCTGCCACCACGATGTGGTAACGGATACAGCGGAAGACAATGGAATGGAATGGAGCTTAGGTTAAGAATTCCCTTTAGTCTGTGTGATACAACGAAACATCATCAGGCTGTAAGAAGCGAATGACTATTCCCTCTTGCTCTTTACTGCTTGACCTAGACTGTAACAGCAATAGTGTGTGAATGCATGTTCTTTGAGGGACACGTTGCATAATGTAACTTTGTGAGAAAACAAACATTTTGTTGTTGTGGGTTCGCTCCCCTCATGAGACCTACTCCCTCGACTCCCACTGATATCTGCTGTTGTCCTTGGGCAAGACACTCAATCTGACACTGCCTGAAGCCCCTGCTGAAAAATCAAGGCAGTGTCGTCCGTGATGGAGCAGCCATCCTTCTGTGGACTCACCGCCTGCAGGAGGATCAGTGAGGGGCAGGTGCTCAGAGATTTTGATGATTATGGAACACTATACTTTCAGATGAATCAAGTAATAAGTGTTGGGTCCAAATGTTTTGAAAGGACTCTTATTTCAAAACGGTAAATGTAATAAGCTTGTTTTTCTCTTTTCCCTTTTCTCAAACAACAACAACATTTGGGCCACACTCATATTTGCATTTTTGGTTTTCTCACAAGAAATCAGGTCACAATTTGAATTTGAAAATTCACGTCCCTGAGGTAGTTCTTGTCCATGAATTGATTCAGTATAGGACATTCACTTTTATTTTAGACTGTGCATATAGTATGACACAACACTATCCAGAGAAAGCTGAAATGTCATACAGTGTGGTATGTGTGTATAAATGATTTAAAAATCATTGAATCTTGAATCTTCAGTAATGGAAAAGAACTTATTATTATCCTTATATTTTATCTTTACCTCGACAGCAACACAGGTGTGTGCGCGTGTATGTGTGTGTGTGTGTGTGTGTGTGTGTGTGTGTGTGTGTGTGTGTGTGTGTGTGTGTGTGTGTGTGTGTGTGTGTGTGTGTGTGTGTGTGTGTGTGTGTGTGTGTGTGTGTGTGTGTGTGTGTGTGTGTGTGTGTGTGTGTGTGTGTGTGTGTGTGTGTGTGTGTGTGTGTGTGTGTGTGTGTGTGTGTGTGTGTACGTGTGTGTGTGTGGTATAGAGTGTGGCGCTGACTGTCTCTACCACAGGAGCCAACAGTCCTGCTGTAGTCAGCTCTTCCCACAGTCTGAAGGGAGGCAGATGGAGAGTGCTGTGGCTGTGTCTGACATGGCATGAGTAAGCTGCGCTCCAGTAGATTTGATCATTAAACATACTATTGAAACATCAGCGTTTTGGTCTGATGTATTCAGAAGTAATTCTCAATATTAGTTACACTTCAATGTCCCTATCGGGAAGTTTTTTCACTCTATCCTACAATGCACTATTGACAACTTTTTTGCCAAACTGCCTTGCCGAAGTCATGGTCCACACAGGAACACTTAACAACAAATACAGTGTCTCAATTTCCTTTTAAAAGGATTGGGGGGAGTCATCTGTGTGTTATTTTGATAAAGGGATTGGTGTTCTTCATGTTCTGAAATAAACATCAAACTCAATACTTGTATACACAGTCATTCTCTTTAATAACCTCTCATTTGTGTCTTGCCATTTGTTTAAGCTATTCTCTGTAAATGTTTATGACAAAATGTTCCTCTATCCTCCCATGCACATTTGAGGCAAACTTGTCTGACACAGTGTTTGTTTTCTGCTAAACCTCAGCTTAAAACGGAAACAGCTTTCATCTTAAGAAAACAACCAAATTACACCTTGTTTAGTGTGTCTGTGGATTCTGGCTCAGGTCTGGCTGTTTCAAGCTATATTTCTCACACTCTATTCATTAGGATGCTGCGTTTGCCAGTTCTATTTATGAGGGGCATTTCATGTTGAGTCTGGAGCAACAAACATGCATCTGAATAAAGCAGTTCACATAGAGCGTCTACTCTGCACACAGTCTTTGTTTCTTTTTTGTTGTTGTTGACAAGTCTCTATGCTGACTCATAATGTTATGATCCTGAATTCAAACGATGTTCATGCTTCATTCATTACGCTTTCTATTTCTGTAAATCTGGTGTTTTCTTTATGTTTTCAAATAATAACTTCAAAACAAAAGTTATGAGAATATTGTGCAGGCGAATTTCACGGTACAAAATTGTGGCCTGTAGGTTTCACTGTTTCTGATTGGCTCTCTTACACAGCTGTCAGCGACTTAAAATAAAATAACTGCACATCCAACTCTGTGACAGGTGCTTAAAAGGACGAGGAGCTGTGACAAGTATTAAAAAGAAAAACATTCTTAATTTTTATTTTTATTTTTTTGCGAAAGGATTCAATTTAGTTCAAGGTGTTGTGTTTTTTAATTCCATCTAGTCCCTGTTTTTTT